GTGTAAACAGAAGGCTTTAGTATAATTGAAGCATGTTTTATGTCCCTCTGGTGCGCTTTGGAAATCAAAGTACGGAGCCTAGAAATAACGAAATATATTGGAAGCTGCCCCGGTAAACATAAGAAGTGAGTTCATTCATTTTCAGTAGATAAGTCAGTATCAGTATCAGAATTATTTATTGAGGAAAACATAGGCAAACGCTTTTGAACATCCTTTTTGTAACAAAACAGTAGGAAATATATGGATACAAAATAAATATACTGAACTAAATGTAGAAAGTACGCCATGAAAACACCTGACAGGTAGTCCAAATAATAATGAAACACGACTACTCGTTAGTCACGATTTTAAGGGAAATCAAACGAGTGGTCAACATGTCCCATTTTTGTTTAGAGTTTATCTTAAAAGAAGAGAATATGCATAGATATTAGACGCCCAAGTATCAAATAAAAGCGTTTTTAATGAGGTAATATGTTTTAGGAAGTTTTTTCATTTATCATATGTGTATTAGTTTCCGACTTTTGCTGTGGAAGTAAACTTTCCTCGGCAGTGATTTGACGTATTTGGGTGATTCTAAAACCATAAAGCAAACAGGCAGCGGCATAAAAAAGAATGTTTAAAAAATTGATTATGTAGGTAAATTCGTTTAGAACATATCTTATTCTGAAGCTTTTGGCAAGCAGGTAGAACAGCACCGGTAGAAAGGGACAAGCAAATAATAACGCTGAAATTCGCAAAATGTTAAGCAGAATTTCCAGAGCAATTTCAAGATCATAGCATTCGAACTCTCGAAATAATTACGAAGGAATTTGAAGGAAGGAGTTTTTCAACGGAGTTTTTGAACAAATAACAAGGGCTTGAAAAAACAGCGGACGAAATAATGATATCATTTGATGTTGTCTCTCTCTTTACATCGATACCATTTGACTCAGCAAGACAATACACAGTAGAAGTACTTAATTCTTACGAAGTGGACTTACCTGAATCTGCCCTGCTTGAACTCTTAGATTTATGTTTGAAAACTAATTTCTCGCTCACTCAACATGACTATAAACAGATGAAATGGGCCCCGATGTGACCAAACATTTCTGGCTTCTTGGCCGAAATAACGATGCAAAAATTAGAAACCATGGCCCTACCACTAGTTAACCCCAAATTGTGGGTACGCTTTGTCGATGACACGTTTGTCATTGTTAAAAATAACCAACTGGAATCACATTTACGCTCGAAAAAGAATTAACAGTTAACTCCCTTTTCTCGACGTTTTCTTACATCGTAATACTAACGGAACGTTCCAAACATCACTTTGTCGCAAAAAGACCTATGTTGATGTTATCCTTCATTACAAGAACAACCATCCTTTTGCTCACAAACGGAATGCTGTTATCGCCCTAATGAATCGAGCAATAACGCATTGTTCTATCCACGAAGTCTATCAAGCCGAAATTAACTACCTGTTCCAATGGTTTTCAAAAAACGGTTACCCCAGAGAGTTCGTGCGTCGATGCGTAAAACGACAAGAGTTTAAACGAAAGGAAAAGGAACTAGAATGTTACGATCAAGCGTCTCATCCAAGAAATTGGCAAACACTTCCATATATTAAAACGTGTTTGAACTCGATGCAAGACATCTTAGGAAGTACCAGATCAAAGTGGTGCACAAACCAACGTCCACACTTCGAAATCAGCTTGTACACCTTAAGGAAAGGATTAACTATTTGAACAGAAAAGGGGTCGTTTATAAATTGTATTGCGGCGACTGCGATGCAATTTATTGCGGACAAACAGGAAGGTCCGCCTCTGCACGTATCATTGAACTTCACATAGTGGTTAATAGGCGCGACCGGTTTTCCGAAGTCGCCATGCATAACTTGAAATTGGGCACTAGTTTGCAAGGGACCAAACCCGCATTGAAGGTTCCTGCCTATACAAAAAAGGCCGAACATATTTGGAGGTCATGAATTCTGACGAATTGTGCATCAGCAGACAGGTTGAGTTGGATGCAATGTACACCAATCTTAAAAAACCCTGGAAAAAGGGCAAACCACAAAAAATGCTATTGACCATGGATGATGCAGCATTATCGCAGCATTATCGACTTTCGGACACTTAAAAATTTGCACTGCTCTTCACATATTTTCCTCGAGTCCGAAGACGACCTGATGTGCCGGCGTCGAAAACTTACAATAATGCTTGTTCTTGTTTCCCAAATATTTTTTTCTAAGGACATTTCTCCCAGTACACAAAAGATGGTATGTTCACTATTGCACATGAAAAATTGATTTAAATTTATTAGACACGGGGAAGTATGTGCACATCTGAGCTTACGTACTGCAGTGAACACCCAATCGTCGGAATCAAATGAGAATCTGGCTGGCTTAGTCGAGCGTATCTCGAACGATGTAGACATCTTCTATCATTATCTATTACGAACAAGAAATTTGGATTGCTTGGTAACCACTCTAATTTACACTGCACGTAGACTGATGTAGACATCGTCTGTCATTATCTTTTACGAACTGGAATAGTAAAATTGTTTGGTAACAAACCTTACTTTACACTGCACGTAATACACCAGCATAAATGACGAAATATTTCGTAAAATGATTATCTTGAAACGTAATTCTGCTTATACTGCCTTATTTACACGAATTTTTCCATGAACACTACTTCTAAATTCAAAAGTTAATTGTTGTTAGAAATCCTAATTTTCTTACCTGCCTAAAGTTTGATCTTATTCTAAAAAATTGATTTTCCTTTACAACATAATATCTATTGATAAACTAAAGTGTATCATATCTTCATGGGGAGTTTTACTTATATATATATATATATTAAGACCTTTGGGAAGGTAACTTGGCTTAGTTTTACTCACTAGGGAGTTTCTTGTAAAGATCCTTGCATTTCAACAGTTTTGAAATCAAATATAGGTAGTTATGTATAGTTAAATACGTAATAACAATTATATTATTGTTCCAAAGGAACAATTTCTTTTGTGGTAGCACCATAGCTTAAAAGCTTACGCAAATTTTAAAAAAAATAGGAAAGATTCTGCATTTGGCGGTTTTACTGTAATCTCTAATATTCGACTTAATCCGAATTCATAGTCGACATACGATTGTATCCGTTTCGCGGGTCCTATTCGATATACAGGTGACATACAGTCGATATGAATTTAACATACATACAATATACGATTGTACCTAAATATGCACGTCTTTTTTCCTATTATTTGTGTTTCACAGTTTAGTTATCGCGCGCAAATATTTGGTTATGTAAATAATTATTCTTAGTTCTTCCTACTTTTATTCGCTCTGCTACTTTAAATTATTTCCTATTTCTTCTAGTATGCCTGATCCCTATAACCCCTAAAATAACCGGTCTCTTAAAACTGAAGGAGCGGGTTTAGTTTGCTGTTCTGGCAGGTGAACTGACTTCTACCCCGTCCTGGAATCCATAATGCTGAATCATTCAGTCACACAATGTCGTAAGAAGTAAAACATCGCCCCGCGGTTACGCGGTTGTCGCTTCGTATAACCCCCCTACCCTCTAGATCTGACAGTTTAACTGGGTAGCGTTCTCTATGGCTTCTTACGCACTGCTTCTAGAGCAGTCGCAAGGAGGGCGTTCCGATATGCATGGCATCAGATTGCGGGAGCTAGTGACTGAGCTGTGCGTGGAGCCTGAAACACATGATTATAGGACT